CCCCAAAACCCCAAAACCCCAAAACCCCAAAACCCCGTTTTCTATCAAATTAATTGAAATTAAATAGGAGATAGATAATTTATTTGCTTTCACTTATTTCTTTTTGCCGTTTTCCCAAATACCTTCCTGTTTTGATCCATTCTCATTAATGAAAATGCCTCTGCCATGTTGTTTGCCATTTACCCAATTACCTCTATATTGTCTCTTATCAGGCCAAGTAAAAATCCCGTATCCTTCCTTCTTGTCGTTGATATAGCTGCCTTCGTATTTTCTGCCGTCTCTCCACTCAAATACTCCTTCTCCATGCATTTTATTGCTTTCCCACTCCCCATCATATTTTCTCCCATCTGCCCATTCATAGATTCCTTTTCCGTGGATATTGTTGTTATGAAAATCTCCAGTGTATTTTGAACCATCAGCCCAAGTGAATACTCCTTTACCTTCTTTCATACCGTCTTTATATGTTCCCTCATATTTTGCGTTGTCTGGCCATACTTCAATTCCGTATCCTTCTTGTTTGTCTTCAACCCAGTCTCCTTGGTATTGAGCTCCATCTGAATGAAGGTAGACACCATAGCCTTGAGACTTGTCATCCATCCATTCCCCTTCATAAACATCTCCATCTGCATGGATAAGTCTTCCTCGACCATTGGCTTTATCATTTTTCCAATATCCTTCATATTTACTACCGTCTGCCCAGATTTGAACTCCTCGCCCATCTCTTTGGTTGGTCTGGGTATTCCATTCTCCATCATATCTTGACCCGTTCTCAAAGAAAACTGTAGGCCTGAATTCTCATAATGCACCAGCATTTCGATGCTCTCCATCTTCATTATTGGGAGCTCCGTACTCAAAATCACCTAATTGAGCAGCAATTTCCTCAACTGTTGGATTCTGGTATAATTCTCCGTTTCCTTCACCTTCGACTTGTTCAGGGTCATTGCTCACAATCTGCTCTGTATTGGATGCAGGTGCCTGACTTCCTGATGGAGGCATTATTGACTTTTTATTTTGTTCCTTTAAATGTTTCACTTTATTTATTAGCTAAATAAGTCCTAAGAGCTGCTTGTATTGTCCTGACTTTCATTTGGTACGCCTGGTCTTTATGCTTTGAGATATCAATATCCATTGACATCTCTTTTTGTTTTTCTTCATTATTGCATCATGAATTTCACATTCCCATTTGTCTAACAGTTAATTTAACAACAAACTTATCAATAATATTATTATTTGAAGGGGTTTTGGGGTTTTGGGGTTTTGGGGTTTTGGGGTTTTGGGG